CTCCTCTGTTATACTTTTTCGCCACCTGTAAAGGGAGCGCCTGTCTCTTTCTAGTTTACATCTGCTCCTCCTTTTTTTTTTTTTCAAAGAAATAAGTCTTGAGCATACCTCTAAGCCATAGAGTTAATATGGTTCAAGGCATAAGTTTGGGGTCCTGTGTTGCTTACTGTTACAAAAAAATGCGATTCTAAAAGCTTAGAGAACTCCAGTTGAATACTAGAAAGGACTGCCCTTCTAGCATCAGGCCTGTTACACTGGTTTTCGTAATCAATTAGTCAGTATCCTTGTCCAATTAACCATTAAGAAATCAGTATGATTCAATGTGCTTCAGGATTTACAACTGGAAGGCTACTACTAGATAAATTAAAAATTTAATAAATTTTATTAATTATCGCTAGAGGTAGATCATATTAAATTAAATCAAATCACACAGTAATCAAAATAATATTAATCACTTCTCTCGTGTACAGTATTATGTGCTGAAGCACATATCACATTTATAAGTCTTAAGTAACCGTCTGGTACATTAACATTTAATAAGATTTTTACAAATAGTACCAGTAGGGACCTGACTGCTAAAGTAGGAGAAACTTATAGAAGGGTGTGGTAGGTAAGTTTGAGTGCAGGTGTAAATGATAATGTGAGCCCTTTGATTGAACTTGGTATAGAAAGGGTTTAGTATAGGTATACATATTCCTAAGACATACGAGATAAATAAGTATACAAGATATGATGTAGGCGAAATGACAGTAGTATGTTTTGGATATGTCTTTCACACAACCGGCCCGTATCCCACTGATGCGGGGTGGCCCAAAAGAAAAACGAAAGTTTCTCCTTTTACATTTATAATATATACAGGAAAGAGTTCTACCCCTTGTAGATAAAAACGTGAAGTAAGACTTCAGATGTACAGGTTAATAGAGTGCCACAGATATTTCAGATCACTTTCTAGTTTGTAGCTGCACTGAGAGTAAAAGGAGATGGATACAAGGAGAATAGAAGCATCAGGAAGATAAGTGAAGGTTAATAAACTAAAAAGGAGCAGTTAGGGTACGATATAAACAGATATTGGAGGAAAATTAATAAAAAAAAAAAAAAAAAAAAAGGAAGAAAATTTTTTAGATGGGGCTAAGAGAGCATAGGCAAAGGGGTCGAAGAGGTAGGGGGTAGGTTTAAAAATGTAGTGTTAGTGTTCAGCAGAAGTTTGTGGTTACAGGAAAGTGGGTGCGGGCTGGAAGAGGAGCGATTGTTGGAATGTAAGATATAAAGAGAGTAGTAAGGAGAAAAAGTAGTCATATGAAGAAGTTTTTACAAAGTAGAAGTGAGCAAGGAGAAAGAATATGGAGAAAAAGAGAGAGGTTAAGAGAGTGGGTGAGCCAATGTAAAAGAGAGCAAATAGAGAGTGAGTGAGATGTTTATCAAGACAAATTTTGCTGAAAATAAGAAATAGTTTGGAGTGAGATTAACAAGTTAAGGAAGGCCTAGAGAACAAATGGATTTTGCAGTTAAAAATAGGAGAGGAGAGTTATAAATGGAGAGTTAGAGGTATTGGGAGATGGAGGAATATTTTGAGGAATTGTTAAATGTTGATGAAGATTGGGAAGCTGAATTCGTGATAGGGCAAGGAGGAATAACATCTTGTAGGAGTAGGAAGAGCCAGTTGTGAGTGGGGGAAGTTCTTGAGGCAGTAGTAAAATGAAAGGGGGTAAGGCATGCCGTATGATGGGCTAAAGATAGAAATGTTAAAAGCAGGATGGGGGATATAGTTTTTGGAGTGGTTGGTGGCAATTATTTAATGTATGGACGAGGGTAAGGTACCTAGGATTGGCAGAGAGCATGCAAAGTTCCCTTTGATAAAGGCAAAGGGGACAAAAGATAGTGCAAAATTATAGGGGATAAGTCTGTTGGTAACCTGGAAAAGTGTATTGTCGAGTATTATGAAAGAATTAAGAAGTAAGACGGAGAATAGGATAGCCAGATTGAACAAGGAGGCTTTAGAGAAAAGGTAGGGGTGTGTGGACAGGTGTTTACAGTGAAACATATAAGTGAACAGTATTTAGATAAGGCTAAAGAGGTCTTGTGCATTTATGATTTGGAAAAGGCCTATGACAGGGTGGTAGGGGCATGTGGCAGATGTTGCAAGTGTATGGTGTAGAGGTAGGTTACTGAAAGCAGTGAAGAGTTTTTAACGTAGATATGAGGCTCAAGTTAGAGTAAGTAGGAAAGAGGGAAATTATTTCCCATTAAAAGTAGGCCTTAGACAAGGATGTGGATTCACCGAGTTGTTACGATCTTATAGAATGGGGTTGTAAGAGAAGGAATGTGAGGGTCTGGCAAGAAGGCATGGAGTTAAAGATAAAGAATCACACATAAAGTTGGAGTAGTCACAAGTTGCTCTTTGCTGATGACACGTGCTCCTGGGAGATTCTGAAGAGAAGTTTGCAGAGATTGGTGAAGAATTTGGTAGGGATTGCAAAGAGAAAATTAAAAGTGAATACAGGAAAGAGTAAGGTTAATGAGGAAAACAAAAAGATTAGGTGATGAAAGATTGGATACAGATTGAACGGGGAGACAGAGTAATGGGAGTAGGAATGGTAATTCAGAGATTTGGGAGTGGACGGTCAGCGGATGGTCTATGAAAGACAGGTGAATCATAGAATTGATGAGGGGAAAAGGTGAGGTGTGCAACTTAGGAGTCCTGTGGAGAGAAAGAACTTTTCCTTGGAGGGCAAAGAGGGAATGTATGAGAGTATAGTTTTACCAACGCTCCATATATGGGTGTGAAGCATGGTGATGAATGTTGCAGAAGCGAGTAAAGGCTGGAGGCAGTGGAGATGCAGTGAATGTCATGTCTGAGCAATGTGTGTGTGATATACTGCAGAGAAATCGTAGTTTGGAAGTTAGTAAGGAGGTGCGGATTACCAAAACTGTTTGTCCAGAGGGCTGAGAAGGTTGTTGAGGTGTTCGGACATGTAAGAGAATGGAGCGAAAACAGGTGACGTCTAGAGTGTATCAGTCTGTAGTGGAAGGAAGGCTGGGTAAGGGTCGCCTAGGAAAGGTTTGGAGGGGTGGGTAAAGGAGGTTTGTGTGCAAGGGGCTTGGACATCCAGCAGGCATGCGTGAGCGTGTTTGATAGGAGTGAATGGAGACAAAATGGTTTTTAATACTTGACGTGCTGTGTGGAGTGGAGCAAAGTAACATTTATGAAGTGGTTCAGGGAAACCGGCAGCCTGGGGGGGGGGGGGGGGGACTGAGTCCTGGGAGATGGGAATACAGTGCTGCCTCTGAGGAGGGGTGTAATGTTGCAGTTTAAAAACTGATAGTGTAAAAGCACCCTTCTGGCAAGACAGTGATGGAATAATGATGGTGAACAGTTTGCTTTCAGGCCTCCCTGCCTATGGTGGGAACAGCCAGTGTGATAATAAAAAATCACAAAAATAAGTTGTGTGTAAGTGCTCTAAGTAGTTCCGCTATGTCTCACGACTCGACTAGACTTAAACATGACTGACAAAGTCCCTCAATAAACTAACTTCTTGACCAACTGGCAATCAAACAGTCTCTAGAACAATAAAAAGAATGCTAAGCCCCAGTAAGCAATATAACAAGCAACTGGCAACTGAGACACCGAATCAGAACAAGGAGATAATATAACACACTACAGTAGGGACCATCTAACAGATCCTCCACAAAAGTCACCAAAACTCCCATACTACTGATTCTAGTTTCTGCATAAGGAAAATCCCCACTGTGCTAATCCACAGATACCAGTACAATTTAGGTCAGAAGCTACAGCTCAGGACCTAGTGTTTAGAGTGTCTAGCGACAACACAACCTCAGTACAACGTCGAAAATCACTAAATATATACAAAACTATGTTCTTGTTGAAACAGTCTCTCAACAGAACCTACAAGAAAGCTAGAGACCGATCTTACTAACACGGGGCCTATAAGGGTGATTTAGGCACTTAGTCTGAATATGTCCAACCCCCAGCGAGTCTAGACCAGACTGAATACTATCAGGCGAGGTGAGGGCCCTTCCCCCGATCACGTGATAGCTCTGTGGACAGCTGGTGCCCAGCACAGAAGCCGGCAGAGTAACGATCCAAAGTGAAATACAGAGTTAATGACCAATCAAGACTTAACTTTGAAGCAGATAATATATGGATTACATCCACCTAACAAAAGGAAACCAAGTCAAAATAATATTATGACGTCATATATTTAAGATTAGCATTTATCGCAAATAAACAATAAAAATTATAGGAAAAGGTAATATACATGTATTATATATAAATAATAATATATTGAAATCCCATTCCAGGGTTACAACAAAGTCATCTCCCAGCTTTTTATCGTTTAGACTTGTTTTACTTGGTCCACATTTATGTTCTTGTTATTGAAGTTGAATTTGGTGAAGGCACCCTCGTGAATTATAGGGCGGGATATAGATCGCGTGTATATATCCTCGTGTATATTGTCTGAACCTCGTTTATGTGTGTGATCCGAGTATATTGTGTTTGATATGGTGACATTTCGTATCAGATCATCATTGTTAGTGAAGATGAGGTCTAGTGTATTCTCCAGTCTAGTAGGCTCTATTATTTGCTGGTTTAAGTTGAATTTTGTGCAGAAATTTAAAAACTTGTGTGTGGTGTGTGAGTTCTCATTCGAGCTGCCTCCTGGTGTTATCACTGCAACAACATTATTTGCTTAACACTAATAAAAAAAAAATGGACTGTACCTTGGATTGCAGAGGTGTGAAGTACTAGTGATATTAATAGTAGTGACAGTGGGTTGATGAAGCTTAAAGATTGGCATTATCTCTAACCTGAACATAAAATATTGTCTTTCCATTGTATGTAGTGATGGCTTCATTAAGATTTTTAGTGTTATCATAGTTTTATTTTAAATGAGCAAAAATTAAAAAAATAATGTTTATAGTTATGTGGTAATTAGAACATACACAGAGATTTAACAATAACCATTAATTTTTTTTTCCAGAGAGTGGGAACAAGAAAAAATGGATGATGAATGGGAAGAACTTGATGAAAGTGCCATGGAAGAATGTATGTCTCTTGCTACACAGATGTGTTCAAAGCTTCCTCAGGATGAAGATACTTTCAAGCAAAGGAACAACCAAACTCCTAAAACAACTGAAAATAAGTTTTTCAAAAGTAGAACACCCAAAGATTTACCTAATACCAAAGATCAACCCATGAAAACTACCAGACATATAGAATCTTTCGATAATAATGCTGCCATCGGTTTTGATGACAGTGGTTTTTCCAGTGTAAAGAGCAACAGTGTAAATAATTCAAGACTTTTGATTAGCAAGACTAAAAGTGTAAAAGCAGCTTGTAATCAAACAAGCAATTTTCCCAAACCCAGCTACATTGACAGATTCAGTGATTTTTCTGTTCCAAGCAGTAATTCACGGAAATCATTTGTAGGACATGGAAAACCAGTACGTAGCTCAGGCAAGGTGTATAATTCTATTCCAATGAAAGGAACTGGAGGTACTCTCATCGCTGCAAAAACATGTATTCAACCAACATGTTCATCAGGAAGTGAGGGGAATCAACAGGAGTTACTAAGGAAAATACAAGCAGAGAAAATAAAGCTTGAGGAAGATGCTGTTCTGAAGCAAGGAGAGGTTAGATATAAATTTGATCATTGTTTTAAAAGTTTTCAGCTCGCTTAAGAATGGTTCATGTGTCAGTAATGGAGTTGCAAAACTGTATGACTGAAGAGTGAGCTGTGATTGTTATAGCAAGGAGGAGGGTGCAGACAGTAGAAATGTCTTGAGGCGAGTGTGAATATAATAATAATCTTTATTTCTCTAGGTAGTAGGTTGGTAAACAGCAACCGCCCAGGGAGGTACTATCGTCCTGCCAAGTGAGTGTACAACGAAAACCTGTAATTGTTTTACATGATGGTAGGATTGCTGGCGTCTTTTGTCTGTCTCATAAACATGCAAGATTTCAGGTATATCTTGTTACTTCTACTTGCACTTAGGTCACACTACACATACATGTACAAGCATATATATACACACCCCTCTAGGTATTCTTCTATTTTCTTTCTAGTTCTTGTTCTTGTTTAAATTTTCCTCTTACCCTTCCAGGGGAAGGGAAAAAATTTTCTTCCTCCGAAACCCCTGCGTTTTGAAAGAGGCACAAAAAATCCGGGGGGCGGGGGCTAGTAACCCCTTCCCCCCTAAAAATTTAACAAAATTTTTAAAAAAAATTTCCCTTTTTTTCCTTTTGGGGCCCACCCTCCCCTTGGTGGGATGGGCCCCGTGTGTTGAAAAAAAGGGAAAAAATTTCTTATTTCTACAAGATTTATACAACTTTTAAACAACCAGTAATATCAAAGCTATTTATCGAAAGCCCCTGGTTATGCAAGCATTTCAGGCAACATGGGTTTAAATTTTTGTTCCCCAAAGGATGCAAACCCACAACATTTTGCAAAAACCCAGGTACCTACTTATTTGCTGGGAAAAACGGGGCCAGCAAGTTTTAAGAAACCCTCCCCAAAATTTTCCCAACCCAGGGGGCCGGGAAACAGGCCCCGGACCCTCAGTGTGGAGCTTGGGGACACTATAAACCCAAAGCCACGCCCCACCCAAAAACAAGGAATAAAGAAATTGAAAAAATGGTAAAGATAAAAGGGACTGTTGAGATATTTTTGGAACTGTGTAAAAAGGGTTAAGAGGTATAGAGTGAAAAGTGATGGTCCCTTGAGTTACAATATTTTTTGAGTTTTTGATTTATTTTTCATAAGGAATTCGTTTTGAGTTGCAATAAAAAATTTGAGATAACATACACATGTGATTTAATTTTTCCCTTTTTGGTATTACCAAGTCATCATGGGCCCCCGAAGAGAGCCAAACTGGCAAGTTAGGCCAGAAAGCAAGGGGTTTGTTTGGGCCCAATTTAAACAAAATGACAAACGTTTTTTTCAAAAAAACTTTTGGGAAAATTTATCCCAAACCCAAAAAAAAAAAATTCATTTAAATTCCTTTTAAATTTGGGTGTTTTTAGTAGTAGAAAAAATAATGATAAAATCAAATAATTTAAAAAAAACATTTAAACATTAAAAAAATTTTTTTTTTGAAGAAAGTGTGAAATGTTTGAGTGACTACCCGGTGGGATTTTTTTTTTTTTTGTATGTGATGTTACTTTTAGTTCTGTAGGGGAGAATTTTCCCAGTGCATACACCTGAAGGATGGATAGAAATGTTACGTGAAAGGAAACATTAAATTTGATTCCATTCATGTCAAAAAACCCGTTAGTGAATGGGGGGATGGTAAATTTTTTTTCCCTTTTTTTTTTTCGCCCTCCCTTGGGGAAAATTTGATGTTTTAATACTGTACATGATAGTAACAGTGGAATTTTCGGCTTACAAAATTTTAATGTTCCGTGCCCTTGTTCGTTCCTGATTTGTTCGTTGTAAATAATTTTCTTATTTAAATTAAATTTGAAATGCAATTAATCCATTCCAGCCTTCAGGGGGAAGACAAAAAATGCAATATCAACCTATTGGTTATTATCTATACAATTCTTTAAAAATTTGAGAAAAAAACAATACAGTATTAATAACATAGAAACAGATTATATTTAAAAGAATAAAAATGCCATAATATGGAAAGTGATGACTCCGGCAGCGGCAGAAACATCCACCTTTTTTTTCCCCACTAGCATCTTCCCAGTCCATAACCCCCATTAGTTTGGTTTATCATGTTTGGGGTGAGGTTGTTAAATGTAACCACAGGTGTATCAAGTCAGTTTTTAATAAGTATAGGCAAAAGACATGATCATTTGGGGCGGGAGGCCCGTAGTGGTGGTGGTGGCACCCAGCTGCCTCCTATGCTGCTGCCTTTTTTGTTTTTCTAGCTTTTTTCATAGTTTCTTTCGCTTCCTGAATTCTTGCGATTTTATGCGAATATGTTTTTGGGGTGAGGCTTTTGTGAAAAATTTGTTCAATTAAGACAAAATTCGCACCCAAAGGGTCTGCTGTGGTCATCAAGCGGTAGATTTGTGCCCCCCATCACAAAACTTTGGTAACCACTACTATACACTTTTCACCTGTCTAGATTAATGCCCTTTAGTTTTGGGCTAAGTCTGCCCAAATGCCTTGGCATGATAGGGCTTTCTTTGCCCCAAATCATTTAGATATTAAATACACATTGAAACCTTTGAAAGAAATAATTTTATTTATTTAAGGAACCCCCCTTCAAGGGGAAGTTTTGCATCCTGAAATTTCGTTGTATCCAGAAGCAAAAAATCGCCAAAAAACGGTTTATCCAGAAAAATTCGCATGGTGGGTGTTCGTAAGCCGAGGTTCCAAATGTACATTATAATTTTTTAACAGCTGGCCATCTCTGCTGAGGCAGGGTGACTTAAAGAGAAAATTCATATCATTTACACTTATTTTTGTCTTGCCCGGCAATATATACACTATTAATCAGAGAAAAAATTATAGAATGTTTTTAAGAAGCTTTTTTACGGGCAGAGATGAAAGAAAAAAGCAGCTTTAGAAAATGAGAGATTGAGATTGTGCTTTTAATAGAGGCTGCAGAAAAAAAGAGGAAAAAAAAGGTGAGAAAATTTTTTTTTATTACCACCGGGCCGATTCCCCCAAGGCAGGGTGCCCGGAAAAGAAAAACTTTCACCCTCTTCACTCCTCATGTCTTGCCCCGAAAAGGGGGCTTTTCAACAGTTTTTAAAATGCAAAATTAACACCCCCCCCTTTAGATGCAGGCCACTGTATTCCCACTCCAGGACTCAAGTCCGGGCCCGCGGTTTCCCGGGAAACCCCTTTATAAAAAACTTTGCTCACACTCCAACGCCTCAAGTATTAAAAACCATTTGTCTCCATTCACCCCTACAAACACGTCCGCATGCCCGTGGAATCCAAGCCCCTCGCACACAAAACCCCCTTTACCCCCCCCCTCCAACCCCCCTAGGGGGACCCCTACCCCGCCTTTCCCTTCCCACTAAGACTGATCCTTTGAAGTCTTTGTTTTGTCCCCCTCTCTACTGTCTGAAAACCCCCTCAAAAACCCTTCCCCAGCCCTCGGACAAAGTTTTGGGAATCCCCCACCCCCCCCTAAATTCCAAACTTCAAATTCTCTGCATTATATTCACACCACACATTGCCCTCAGACATGACACTCCACTGCCTCCAGCCTTCTCCTTGCTGCAAACTCATCACCCACGCTTCACACCCATATAAGAGCGTTGGTAAAACTATCTCTCATACATTCCCCTCTTTGCCTCCAAGGACAAAGTTCTTTGTCTCCACAGACTCTAAGTGCACCACTCTTTTTCCCTCATCATTCTATGATTCACCTCATCTTTCATAGACCATCCGCTGACACGTCCACTCCCAAATATCTGAATACGTTCACCTCCTCCATACTCTCTCCCTCCAATCTGATATTCAATCTTTCATCACTAATCTTTTTGTTATCCTCATAACCTTACTCTTTCCTGTATTCACCTTTAATTTTCTTCTTTTGCACACCCTACCAAAATTCATCCACCAGTCTCTGCAACTTCTCTTCAGAATCTCCCAAAGCACGTGTCATCACAAAGAGCAGCTGTGACCAACTCCCACTTTGTGTGTGATTCTTTATCTTTTAACTCCACGCCTCTTGCCAAGACCCTCGCATTTACTTCTCTTACAACCCCATCTATAAATATATTAAACAACCACGGTGACATCACACATCCTTGTCTAAGGCCTACTTTTACTGGGAAAAATTTCCCTCTTTCCTAATACTCTAACTTGAGCCTCACTATCCTCGTAAAACTCTTCACTGCTTTCAGTAAAACCCACTCCTACACCATACACTTGCAACATCTGCCACATTGCCCCCCTATCCACCCTGTCATACGCCTTTTCCAAATCCATAAATGCCACAAAGACCTCTTTAGCCTTATCTAAATACTGTTCACTTATATGTTTCACTGTAAACACCTGGTCCACACACCCCCTACCTTTCCTAAAGCCTCCTTGTTCATCTGCTATCCTATTCTCCGTCTTACTCTTATTACCTTGTAAAAACTCTTGACATTTTTAAATATACATAAATAACTGCTAAAGAGAATATAACATCAGTTAAGGATGAAAATGGTCAATGGAAATAAGTCACTCTGTCTGACTTTTTTGGGTTATCCTAGGTTCTTTACACATATGCTGCTGTGTATGATAATCTATGTAATTGTATTTGTGTATACCTGAATAAACTTACTTATCACACTTGCACACTGAACCATAAAATAAACCACAAAACTGCTACTTTCTTGAATATTTATGTTTTGGTAATCTAAGCATTTGGAAATAGTGTTAAAAAGTGTTTTTATGGCCTGATAAAATGTAAAATTTTGAAGAATGGAAGGTACGTTCTTTGGAAGGTTCTGTGAACCACTAATAGAAATAATGTATCTGCCCAGTATGACACTAATAATAGATATTTTTATCAAATTTATACCCAGATTTTTCTTTGTTTTCATTCTCTTGTGTGCTTGTGCACCTGCTTTCCTTTGCTGACTTGCCAAGCAGACCTCAAGCATTGTTTGTTATAAACTGGCAAGGAACAGCTATTATGAACACAGGTATAGTATGGCCTGCAAACCTGGTTGTAAT